GGTTTCCTGCCCTCTTTACTAAGATGATTTAGAAAGAAAAGCAGAGGATACAAATGCATGACAAGCTTGACTTTCTAGTTTATTTCCCCAGGTTATAACACTGTGATACGCATACCGGCTGGTGCTACAAATATCGATGTGCGGCAGCATAGTTACTCAGGGAAACCAGAAGATGATAACTACCTTGGTAAGACATGGCACTTGTTAGCAGTGGCAAAACCATGCTGTTTTCTTGACGTGCTTATATTTCCATTGGGCTAACACGGGACTTCCAGTATGGAAAGAACTCAAAGGTCATCTGATGCAGAGTTCCTCTGTGCTGGATATTGAGTCCTGATGGTTCTGTAGCAAAAATGTGTCTGAGCCCCATCTCAATCCAAACCTAGCATGGAGCAAAAGAAGGAAACTCACCCAGAGATGCCTTCAGAAGTATTTAATAAAATGCATTATTATTATTATTATTATTATTATTATTATTATACTGCCTTTCGTCAAAAGATCTCAGGACGGCTCACAAAGTAAAAATATAAGATAAAGACAAAAATAAGTAGGTAAAACAAAAGCAACAAAACAATAGCCCCCTGCTCCCACAAGCACATTTAAAAGGCTATAGCACATTAATCAGCCAAAGGCCTGGTTGAAGAGGAATGTTTTTGCCTGGCGCCTAATAATGGACCTTGTGGGGGAAAGCATTCCACAAATGGGGAGCCACTAATATACCTTAGGCAAGCCTTCGCCAACCTTGTGCCCTCCAGATGTTTTGTGCTACAACTCCCATCAGCCTTGTGCTGGCTGGGGCTGATGGGAGTTGTAGTCAAAAACATCTGGAGGGTAACAGCTTGGCAAAGGCTTCCTTGCACAAATAAGCTGGCGGAGCGACTCCTACCTGATCCAGTGTGTCTTACTTGAAGCTAGTGTTTTATTTCCTCTTGCCCTGAGAACTTTTCATTTCCTCTTATGGGTGGCCTGTTTGTGTCAAAGGTGACATTCATGCTTTAGGAAGTATCCAACCACACCTTCAACTGAGAGGTGTACCTATTTTGTCTCACTACTTCACCCTCCCACAAAAGGAAAGACTCGGATTTGTTGTGGGTTTCAGTGTTGTTTGGCACCATAAGAGCCCACCGCTGCGTGAAAAGCAACAGTGGCTGGATTCTGTGTGCTTTGAAAGTTCCCCTTCCTTGTCCCTTTGCAGTGTGATAGCTTTTTATCTCTTGCAGGCCTTTTCAGAGAACACCTTCCTTTCTGTGCAACTCGAGTACTCCTTTAGGGCTAATATAGTAGCTGTGATGGGTGAAATGGTGGGGAAACTAACTTAGGAAATTAACTACATAATCGCATTAGTGTGAATTTGTGCAGCAGACTGCTGTTTTCAGGAAACCGTCCCTTTTAGAGAAAGCTTTTAGACTTTTAAGCTTTTTGACATTTTTGTGTGTTGCTCATGTTTGGCATGAAGCAAAACGCAAAATACGGTGCTGGCCAAACACCTCCGAATCTCCCATTTGGATGGTCAGCTTTAGATGTTTTAGCTAGATCCTCTTGTTTTAGTATTTCTTTACAACTAAATCAAGGTGTTGTGTGGTGGAGTTAACTTCCATCCTACAAGTGTGTTCTATGTAGGAAGATAATAGAGAATGAACTGATACAGGTGTGGGCTGTTCACGTTTGCATTAGGGAGTATGTTGAAGTGTGTACTGGTTGTGTCAAAGGTTGGGTTGATGTTAGAGAATATAGACATTTGTGTCCATGAGCATTTGTGTCTTGGGTTTTGGTATGCTGCATGCTTGTAGACTCCAGATTTTGTACATGAGCACCTGCATGTTTGCTGATTTGTGTATATTTGATACATGTATTTGAATCTGAAGCAAGCACAACCCAGGGAAATTTGAAAAACAGGCTGAATGGATGCCTTGGTTGCATTTCTTAAATGCAGTATTTGGGTAAAGGTAAAGGGACCCCTGACCATTAGGTCCAATCGTGGCTGACTCTGGGGTTGCGGCGCTCATCTTGCTTTACTGGACGAGCGAGCCGGCTTAGAGCTTCCGGGTCATGTGGCCAGCATGACTATGTCGCTTCTGGCGAACCACAGCAGCGCACGGAAACGCCGTTTACCTTCCCGCCGGAGCGGTACCCATTTATCTACTTGCACTTTGATGTGCTTTCGAACTGCTAGGTTGGCAGGAGCAGCGACCAAGCAACGGGAGCTCACCCCGTTGCGGGGATTCGAACTGCCGACCTTCTGATCGGCAAGCCCTAGGCTCTGTGGTTTAACCTACAGCGCCACCCGCATCCCAGTATTTGGATAGAGTAAGATAAAAGGTAAAGGACCCCTGAAAAACTTTCACCTTTGTCATCACACTTCCTCTTCTGCTGCTTCTGGTCTTCCTCTTCCTGAGACAGGTGTTTCTACAGCACCCACCACTTGGAAGTGTGAGGGCTGTAGCCAATCACGCCACGTCTGGTATCAGGGTCCGGCAGGAACGTGCAGGAGGAATCAGGCACCTTTTTATGGTTGCTGGTTCTCCTGACTTCACTGTGAGGAGCTTCACATATCCCTCCATATTTGCACCCTTTCAAATTTGCACCATTCCAGAATTGTCTTTTTTTTTTTAATAACTCCCTCTCTCCAAGCTTGAGATGCATGTCCTTCACAGTATTGATACAGAAAACCTCTTACTTTAGAGCTTGCAACACAGACAGCTGCCTTGTGCAGAGTCAAACAATTGATCATCTAGCTCCGCATTGCCTATGCAGCAGCTCTCCAGGGTTTCTGACAGGACTTTCTCCCATCCCAACTTGGGAGGAGCTTGGGATTGAACATAGAACCTTCTGAATGCAAAGTGGCTGCTCTACCGCTGAGCCAGGGTTCTTCCTTATACCACTGAGCTGCAACCCTGGCTGGAGATGCAGGGGATCAAACATGGAATCTTTCCAAGCAGAGCATGTGCAAGTGCTATGCTGTGCCCCTGCAGTGCAGCGTTGCAGCATCTGCATCTTGCATTCAGGGTCTTCAGTAGCTCCTTAACAAACAGGGCCAGCCGGTGCCCTTTGACAACTACTCGGTTGCAGCAGCCAAAAAAAAAAGTGTGATGCAATCACCATTGCCTTGCCTGAGTTCCAGTGACTGACTGAATTGGTCTCTACTGTTGCTTACCTGAAGAACAGCCTTTAGTAGGGGCTAATTATTCCTGGATTTCCAACTATTTGGTGGATTTGTGCTGATTTTCCAAGTCATTGTTCAGGGGTAGTAGGGAAGCCTTTTTGGACTTTGGGCTGTATTGCCAAGGTGGAAAGCTGTCAGGGGTTAGGCTGCAGTAGTGGCAGAACTAGAGACACACACACACACACAGTGGGATCACAACATGGAGAAGCAGCTCCCATCATTGTACAAATGAGGTCAAGAATGGGAGCATGGGGACACCAGCGCTGCAAGGAATTCAACTTGAATTTGAGTTTGACTTGGTTTATGTTTTCCTGTCTGCCAGTGTTTCATTATATTGACAGCCTGATGCTTTTGTATTAATCTAGTTGCTTTTGGTTTTGCTGCTGGCTGCTTTGGGCTTCTGTCAGGAAGGGACAGTGAGACAGAAGCAATAAAGGGAACAAAATGAATAAGGAGTACATAAATCAGTGCAGGCGGTCTCTGGTTCCCTCCCAGTCTTGTTCTGTCTTGGTTGCTTCTGGAGATAGACATCCCCGAGTTCATTTTGAGCATTATGTAAATCAGATGGCTTTCAAATAACGTCCTTTCTTATCTAGGCAAGCAGATTACACTGATTCTGTCTCCCTGCTTGTTGTTGTTTCTATCTGCACAGCATTGTCGAGTAACGAAGGCTTCATATTAAACGGAGACTACGTTGTCAGCATGTTTAAGAAGGAAATCAAAGTTGGAAATGCAGTGATAGAATACAGTGGCTCAGACACCCCCGTTGAAAGGATCAATTCTACATACCGTATTGACCAAGAAATAGTTCTTCAGGTTAGAAACATCTTGCTTTAAAATGAAAACCTCATAAATACGGTTCTTCTAAATTGTAATAGCTGAGATAATTCTTTTCACCTTATGCTTTTTTCCTCCCTCTTAGGTTTTATCAGTGGGTAATTTATATAACCCTGATGTTCGATACACATTCAATATCCCCATTGAAGATAAACCTCAGCAGTTTTATTGGAATATCTATGGCCCTTGGCAGCACTGCAGTAAACTATGCCAAGGTATGTGGTCTTAGGGGGTTTTTTATTTTAAAAAATCATCATCATTATCATTATCACCATCATTTTCTGTATTTAATGCTTTATCTTCGATTCTGGTGGTGATGACAACTCCGCTTCTCATGTCTGCTTTTAGCTTCTGATAAAATTCAAGCATTTTGTTTTCCGAGAACTGTCATAGTGGAATGATGCATACTATCTGCAAGTCACGTGATAATGCTGAGGCCCCTCCTTAATGCTTCAGATTTCCTGCTTCCTCCACAGACTAATGGCTGACCATTCTGCTGGCAGGTGGCTTCTTATCTTGCCCTGCTCAAGGCGAAGCCATAGCGTAAATGGTTAAGTGTGTGCAAGTAGACACTGCAGTTTTGCTTGCAGAAATCTGAGCCCCCTTTTGGAAGGCGCTGTCCAAAGGCAGCTCGGGCTGCTAAGTGAAGCGTATGGAACGGAACGTGTTTAGTGCATCCTGGTGTCCACCTGTCTTTAGAGCATCATGCAGACTGTTCTGATATTGGAGATTACACAGTTGATCGTAAGAGTGGGGTGGAAGAAGTGAAAGCAGGAGCAGGAATGAGTTGCTTCTCCTTGAACAACATCCCAAATGATGTATGAATCAGTCCCAACTCCTACAACATCTGAACAATGCAACTACTGCCCATAGCCATCATAGGTTTCACTACGGTATGAACCTATGTTGTATTTGTGCATACTTCCTACTGATCTTTAAAGGTTTAGAAATGTTTTTAAATGAATGAATTCCCCCTGCCCCTACAATTAATTTAGATAGCACTTGGATAGCTCAGTGGGTAGAGTGTGATTCTCCTAATCTCAGGGTTGTGGGTTTGAGCCCCATGTTGAGCAAAAGATTCTTGCTTTGTTTGTGACCTCATGGTCACTTTCAACTCTATGATCCCATGATTCTAATTTGCAAAGTGGAACATAGGCTCATATAGTTACTGGCAGTGGCTCTCCAAGGGGTTCAGAAAGGGGTCTTCCCCAGACCTACCTACAGATGACAGAGATCGAACCTGCACAGCAAGAGTGGGGAACCTTTGGCCCTCTAGATCAGTGTTCCCCAACCTTGGGCCTCCAGCTGTTTTTGGACTACAACTCCCATCATCCCTCGCTAGCAAGACCAGTGGTCAAGGATGATGGGAATTGTAGTCCAAAAACAACTGGAGGCCCAAGGTTGGGGAACACTGCTCTAGATGTTTGCTAAACTACAACTCCCATAAGCCCTAGCAAGCACGGCCAAAGGCCAGGGATGATGGGAGTTGAAGTTCAGCACACATTCGGTGGTCCAGAGGTTCCCCCTCTGCCCCAGTGTATAGAAAAACCCTTTGAGGAGGTGTCAAGGCTGAGCCTTAGGCAACTGTGAGAAATGATCCAAAGCTGGGGAAGCAAAGGGCAGCAAGTCAGAACTGAGGATCATGCAGAAAAAGAGCCAGGAAAACCTCGTCACTCAGGAGAGATCCAAGCCCCTGCAGGAGGCCTTTTACAGCACTTCCTGCCCAAGAGGCCAGCCTGGGTTGGCAGAGCTAGTCCAGAGCCATGTTCCTGCTAGAGACAGGTACCAGGCTGCAGTTCGGATAACTCACAACCCAGAGTGCTCAGTTCTGGCCCTGAAAGCTCCAGATAAGAAAGTCTTCATTAGTCTAGTTTTTCAGCTAGGAAACTGAAACTGAGAGATAGCGACTTGCCCAGAGCCATGCAATGAGTCCATGACAAGTTTCCCATGCAAGACTAGTACTCTATTTCCTGGACCACTAGGGCTCTCACTGTGAAGTCAGAAATCCTGCTTCCTTGGTGAGTGGCATTGGAGGGGAGGGTAAGTGCCTGTATTGAAAGAACTGCTAATGAGCAGCTCAGCAGGGCTGCAAACAATTTGGCAAAGAAACACTTGTTGAATTGTGAAGGACCCTGCTTGTCTTGATAGCCTACTTGCCTTTTCCAGCATTGTGGTTCTCTAAACCCCATCTTGAAGGCTGTAAATTCATTGTCAGCACCACAAATTGGACTTGCTCATAGAAAAGTCTACTCCCCTGGTTATTATATTTTCGACAGTGCTTTTTCACAGGTTCTGGCTGTTCCTCTTTAGCTGGAAGCACAAGTTCTTCCCAGGATACCAAGCAAAGTCACCCCAACCTCTTCTGGCCTAGCAGAATCAGCCATTAGCTGAATCCTCTTTTCACAGCCAGGTACACAGCAGCTGCATCCTGGGAAGAGTACTGAATACCCCTGGGCTCAGGATGCATAAACAAAACGGCCTGCAGTTTACTGAGAATGAAAGATCTAAATCTTGGTAGTCAGGATAACTAGATGTCACAAATGTATACACAGCAAGTAGAATGAATTATGGACACTGACCGAAGCATTCTTTTCCATTTCCTTCACTAGGCAGAAACTCCAGCATTGGTGCAACCATTCACTATTACAGATTGGCCATTTTGGCCTTAATGGGATGTGGAACAGAATCTATCTTAACAAAGTAAGGCCTGTCATACCCAGGCCTCTCTTTGTCATTAACCAAGCCTCAAATCATAGTACTGTACACAGAATCCTGCTTCTTGAAGGCAGCATTTGAGTTCGGATAGCCACCAAGGCAGAAATCAAGGTCTCCAATACACTCAGTCTTTAACAACCAAAATAAGTCTTGAAGCCATTGTCCTACATTTCAGCAGGGGTGGAGAACCTATGTCATGCCAGATGTTGTTGGATTTCAGCTCCCATTCATGGCCAGTGCAGATGGATTATGAGAGTCGTGGTCCAGTAATGTAAAGGACACAGGAAAGGAGTAATGTGATGCCCTAACAAGGGACAAAAAGAATGAGGAGTTAAAACTACAGCTGAACCAAAGTTTGTCAGACATCTTTCTGAGAAAATGTCTGAGGTTTTCATTATCCTCACCCACCACAACCAAATAAAAGACCACAGATGTAATAGAATATTTCTCTGGATATTCTCTACAGCTGCCATCCTCCTGTCCTCCCTGCACACACACACCACCAGCAGTTATGCAGAACAGACACATTGTGGAGCATGTAAAATGATGTCCTGGCTGCCAACATAGTTGCTCCTGCGCTCACTTCCCTTCCTAACCAAGGGGGGGGGGAGCAGTGGTGCTTGCTGTCATTGGTAATGGAGAGCATCGTTCCGCCAAACCTGGTCCTCCCAATTTCTCTGCCCACAAACAGGGAGGAGGCTTTCGAGAGACAATTTGCACACATATATAAAAAACTATATATAGGGCTTCGTTGAAGCGAGGCCTGTGTGCAGCCTGATGCAAGGACATGTAAACCAGTTTGTGGAAGACGAGAAGTGAAGTTTTGAGAAATAAGGGGTATGTATCTCTTTCTATAGGCCTCATAAAACTATGCTTTTCTATTTTAGGGGAACGGAAAAGGAAACTTGTTTGCACCCGAGAATCCGACCAGCTCACAGTATCTGACCAAAGATGTGATCGGATTCCCCAGCCGGATCCAGTAACTGAGTTGTGTAATACAAACTGTGAATTAAGGTATCGGCACCCCTCTCCCCTACCGCTGCCCCAAAGGTAGTCTGTACATATGGTGCATCATATATATTAGGCCTTTCCTAACATCTGTGTTTTCATGGCGGATTTTTGCTAAAAATCAAAGTGTGCAGTGTTGAGGTTTTCCTTGGTTTCTGGAGAGCCCGTTTCTGCTGCCCTTGCCTGAGCAGGGAAGAGGGAAAAATCCATACTTCTTGAAACAGTGCGCAAGCTGACACATAACTAGCTTTCGAAATTTGGCATTCTCCAGATTTTGCAGTGCAATCCTCCCACACAAAAATGTGTGCGAAAATGCATTTCCTGTTGCTGAGAGTTGTCAGGTAGCCTGTTCTCTGAAAGGATAATAAGTGTCCCTATTTTAGACGGGGAGAGAGCACTTGCTCCCAGGAGGCTGTAGCCCATTGAGACTGGTAGGGCAGAAGGCAAGGGAGGCCAACAGTAGGTGGCGCCAGAGCCAATGACAGACAAGGCCAACTCATTATAGTTTGGACCCCATCCTCCAGCAGCAAAACAGAGACTAAGGAAGAGGAAGCTGACAGCTAGGGTCACCCCCTGGATTGGTTGTAGGAAGGCAGGTGTAGCCTGACTGGGGAAAGACTTAAGTTGGTGGAGCAATTGCCCATTCACTCTAATGAACCAACCTCCACTGTGTTTATTCTCTTTTTTTCTTTCAGAGCATCATAGTCTCATAGAACACAAATGATTCCTCCGGTTTCAGAATACTTAAGCGCCACAAAACAAATTACAACAGTCTTTCTCTGTTTCGCTCCCCTCTCCATTTTTTCTCTCCCTTAGTTCTGCATCCATCTGGCAACCAGAATTGCATACACTCGAAAAAATCCCTATTTGTCATGGGACAGTCCCTTTTTTTTCTGGCGCTTGTCCTTGGCAGATCACACACACACACACACACACACACACACACGTTTTGGCTTTGGGGAAGACTTAGGGGATGCCTTTTAAAGCATTGTGTTAGCATGAACGCATCTGCATTCACTCCTCTTCCTTGTCACGTGCCCTCCGTTCATAATGGTCCACCCAGATAGTAAATTGCTGAATGTGCATTCATTCTAGAACAAGCACAACCAGATCTTTTAAGAGATTAAAATTCTGCTATGTATTCTTTGGTTGTTGTTTTAAAGAAACTTGTTATTGCAAGTTTACTAACCTTCTTTAAAAGCCAGTGCAGGACAGCATTGCTACATCTGCTCAGGACACTTGTCTTGGGCAGAGATATCCTTGGTATAGGAAATGGGCAGAACATTATTATTATCATCATCATCATCATTATCATCATCATTATTACCTGCCCATCTGGCTGGGTTGCCAGCTTAAGTTAAGTAAGTCACCCCTATAGCATACTCCATTCAGGAGTGCTACTGCCGGAGGAGCTGGCCCAGTCCTGGCAGAGGGAAAACCAGCCTTTAAAATAGCATTGTGAGATTTACTCTACTCTGGAGTGTTTGATTCCATTCTCTCCTTACACAGATCTGTCTGCCAGCCACTTAACTTGTTAATGCAGTGGACACGAGAGCCTGTTGATGGAAAAAAGTCTTGTCCATCCAACAGCAACAGTTACACCAAGTCTGTTCCTTATTTCGTGGAAAGTTCTGTTCTTTAAGGAGCATCTTCCAGTGAAAAGCAGCCCCACCTTCCTCTGTGTTCTGCACTTGCAGCTGGGGGGGCGTTAAAATGTTTCCGAATGTGTTGCAGATGGCAGCGTAGAGGCCTGTAGTGGCTGCTCCCCGTGGTGTCAGAGTGTTCCTTCCGCTGGAGCATTGCATGCCATGCTCTGGTTTTGCCAAGGAGAGGAAGCTAGCAAAAGCTTCCAAACTTCGTGACTGCCACACTTCCAGGGGCAGTGTCCGGTGGCTCCTGGCACTCTTCGTTGTTTGTGTGCTCTTTAGGCTCCTTCCCGAGGATTGTGAGATTACAGCACTAAGGTTGTTCTCTCCATGTGTCCGTAAAACACCAGCTCCTCACTAGAGAGGCTGCAATGTGAAGCAGTTCCATGGTTCAAAACCTTGTCCCACTGTGTCAAACACTTTGTCTGTGTTTTTGCTCTGCTTGTTCTTTTGTATTTTGTGGTCCCCTACTCAGGCTTAAAGGGGACGCGGGTGGCGCTGTGGTCTAAACCACAGAGCCTAGGGCTTGCTGATCAGAAGGTTGGCGGTTCGAATCCTCGCGACGGGGTGAGCTCCCATTGTTTGGTCCCAGCTCCTGCCCACCTAGCAGTTCGAAAGCATGTCAAGTGCAAGTAGATAAATAGGTACCGCTCCAGCAGGAAGGTAAACAGCGTTTCTGTGCACCTCTCTGGTTTGCCAGAAGCGGCTTAGTCATGCTGGCCACATGACCCGGAAGCTGTCTGCGGACAAACGCCGGCTCCCTCGGCCTATAGAGCGAGATGAGCGCGCAACCCCAGAGTCATCCGTGACTGGACCTAATGGTGTACCTTTACCTTTACCTTTACCTTTACTCAGGCTTAAGGGCAGGTTAATATGCAGTTGAAGGTGATGGATGAAGGACCCTGTGTGTGATTTACCTTTACCTTTACCTTTACTCAGGCTTAAGGGCAGGTTAATATGCAGTTGAAGGTGATGGATGAAGGACCCTGTGTGTGATGGGCAGGGGAGGGATGCTCTCTCAGGGTGGGAGGCTAGGAGAAGAAAGGGAAGCTGCCAGGTGAGAGCTGGAAGGGCTCGCCTCTCTCTGTGTGGGACAGGTTAAGATTTACCTGCAAAAGAGGACTTTGCATTCTTCCTTTCTTCTTCTTCCTTTGCTTTTGTTCATGGTTTTTTAAAATTGTAATATGTTATGAAAGGTCTTGATAAAATACTGTTTAAGTAAAAATAAGGGGGGAAAGAGGGAACATAGCCCTCAATGGGGAAAAATGGTTGCTTGCTCCTGGAGCAGGCAATTACCAAGGCCCGAGGTGGGAATCTTTCCCAGCCTGAGGGGCACATTCCCTTCTGAACAATATTCAGGGCCCATATGTCAGTGGTGGATGGAGACTGGCAAAAGTGGGTGGAACAAGATATGTAAATTTTGCATGGTAGACTATTTTCTATGCGCACCCCTCTCTTCCCTCTAATCCAGGCAAACAAGAGGTGTTAAAAGAGCGCAAGGGCACATTCTAGTCAGGCAGAAACACTCCAGGAGGGGTGAGACAAGACTGTCGAAGGCTGTGACTTTGGGAGAGTTCCAACAGCTAGGCAGAGAGGCCTGGAGGGCTGCATTTGGCCCCCAGGTCTGAGGTTCCCCGTGTCTGTCCTAAGCTCAAAACACCTATTAAAAAATCCAAGGTCTAAAGGAAGTTCAGTGAGGTTCTATAGATTAGTGGTAAAAAGCACGTGGTTTGCGTGCAGAAGGTTCCAGCCTCAGACTCTGGCATTTCCATTTAGCGAAAAGTTCAGGTAGCAGGTGATGCGAAAGGTCTCCACCTAAGTCCCCCAAGAGCCACTGGCAGTCAGAGCAGGCAGTACCAGGCTATATGGACAATTAGTCTGCAGCTTCATATAGGATTTTTTGCTTTTTGAGAATATAGTCATGTTTAAGATTGGACTGTAAGTCTTCTTTGGTTGAGGCTCAGTGGGAGAGCGTCTGCTTGCATGCAGAAGGGCCCAGGTTCAAATCGTGACATCTCATAGAATCACAGAACTGTAATGTTGGAAAGAACCCTGAGTTTCATCTAGCCCAGCCCTCTGCAGGAATTGAATTTCCAGGTAGGGCTGGGAATGTTACGTGACTGAAACCTTGGAGAGCTGCTGCCAGTCAGTGCCAAGGAAATACTGAGCTGCGTGGACCCGTCTGACTTGGGTGTTAGGCAGCTTCCTATATTTCTGCTTCTCTTCTCTGTTTCAGGCTCCTTTGTCACTGTCTTGTCAGTGTTTTTTCTAACACGGTGCTCTTGGTTGTCCCTAGGTGGCACGTTGCGAGAAAGAGCGAATGCACTGCTCAGTGCGGATTGGGGTACCAGACACTGGAGATATCCTGCACAAAGTACAGCAAGCTGGAAGGGAAAATCGAGAAATTCGATGACCGGTACTGCAGCGGCATCCCCAAGCCAAGCTCCAGAGAAAAATGTTCAGCGGAATGTAACACTGGGGGGTGGCGCTATTCTGCCTGGACAGAAGTAAGTGCTGCCACTTACTGTGGCTCCTTCCCACTGATGCTTTGTATTGTGTGTGTGTATACACACAGAGAGAGACACATATGAAAAGAACAGGGCCTTCTCAGTTGTGGTTCCCTGTCTGTGGAACGCTCTCTCCAGTGCAGTCCGCCTGGCTCCCAAACTGACATCTTTTTTGGCACCAGGTAAAGGCTTACTCCCCACCCCTCACCCCTGGCTTTTGATGAACTAAGATGGTGTTATTTTGTTGCCAGTGTGCTGCTAAACATTCTTGTGGCTGCTGGTATGTGTGTGTGTTTGCACGACTCTGTTAATGACGAAATGTTTTTGATTTTAAACATATTGTTAGTCAACTGGAAGCTAGCAAGCCAAATAGCAATAATGTAATATTGTAAGTTTGTTAGGTTACATACAGTGTACAGAAGTGAAAGGGGCTCATCATTTTCACCACTTCCTAGAATGGATAAAACGGGTCAGCAACCTTTTTCAGCCGGGGGTCGGTCCACCATCCCTCAGACCATGTGGTGGGCCGGACTATATTTTGAAAAATAATAATGAGCGAATTCCTATGCCCCACAAATAACCCAGAGATGCATTTTAAATAAAAGCACACATTCTACTCATGTAAAAACACCAGCAGGCCCCACAAATAACCCAGAGATGCATTTTAAATAAAAGGACACCTTCTACTCATGTAAAAACACACTGATTCCTGGACCGTCTGCAGGCTGGATTTAGAAGGTGATTGGGCCACATCCAGCCCCTGGGCCTTAGGTTGCCTACCCCTGAGATAAAACCTTTTGAAGACCAAACTTAAGAACATTCCTCCAGTTGCTTAAAATTAGGGGAGAACTATTCATTATAGGTAGGATTTTCTGAAACGAGATTCCTACCTCGTTTTTTCTGAACTACCTCCTGGCACTCCCTGACGAATGGGAGCTCATCACTCCTGACCTGAGGCAAGCGGGGAGTGGGCCTTTCTGCTGCTGTCTGCTGACTCTGCTTTTCTTCCTTCAAGTGCTCCAAGAGCTGTGGGGCTGGCACAAAGAGGCGCCGAGCTGTCTGCATGAACACCTTCAACGACGTCCTGGAGGACAGTAAATGCAGCCAGCAGGAGAAGGTGACCGTGCAGCGATGCAACGAACTCTCGTGCCCGCAGTGGAAGACCGGCGATTGGTCAGAAGTAAGGAGCTTATTGCTTTAAAGGTGTAAACAGCACGGTAGATTTTGATCACGGGAAAGCTGCAGTGCAGTAATGTCAGAAGCACCCCGAATCAGTTTGCCACCATCATTAGGAAAAGGTGTGCATGCTGCTTTCTCACTTTTCCTTTCCTTCTCAGCAAGTCTGAGATTTACTTTGCTCACATCCTCCTCCTTGATTAGTGAGGGATGGTAGTTAAGTTGCAATCCTTAATTCGAGGTTGGAATTATCCCTCACCACCTAGAGAGAATGCCTTAGAATCTGAAACCCAGTGGGAAGCCCATTGAACCTTTTCCAGAATGGTAGCTGCTGCATGTGGCAAGCCATTTTGTGTTACATGTTTGCAGGTCCAACTAAAATGTCATATCTTGTGGACCTTTCTGGTTTTCAAGGTTTGTGCGATCAATATTTGCACTCACAGACAAAAAAAATACATTGAGTTGGATTGCAAACGTAACCCTATACATGTCTTCAATGAGACTTAGTGCCAGGTAAGTGCTGAGGATTATAGCCTAAATTAGTTGCACTTTAGTCCAGCATTGAGAAACTTCTGGCCCATGGGCCTAATTAGGGCTGTGAGACCTCTGAATTTAGTCTGTGGGGCCATTTTGGGCAAACCACTGCTAACAGTTGTGAAACATGAGTTACAGAGACTTGTTATCTCCAATATAAGCTCTAAAATCGGAGATAAAAAATCTCTTATCCATAATCTTGGAGCTAAGCACCATTGCAATAAGATAAGCTTCTATCTGATCTTAATGGTGTCAGACTACAGCGCTAAGATCAGAGATCAGCCACTGCCTGTTGTTTGAAAGGCAGCAAGGAGGAGAAAAGGGCAGGAGGCAGGAAAATCCTCTGCCTGCTCATTGAAGGGCAGCAGAAGAGGGGTTTTCCCTGGTGTTAGAACTGCAGTGCTATATCAGGTTAAATCCAGACCAAGTTAATCAGGCTTTTAACTCAATGATACAAGTTAGTCATGATTTCAATGGGACTAAAGCAGGGGTGAGATCTGGAAGTGACCCACCTTCCATTTTGACATGTGGGAGAGGCTTTAATCCCATTGAAGTGACAACTAACTGGAATGATTGTCTATTTAGGATGAAGGCAGTGCAGTTGTGGGTTTGTGAAGGGAGACTGCTGTCAAGTTCTGGGAGTGGCTGTGGAGGACAGAGACACGTTCCACTGCTTTGCTCCGGGATAAACTGCTCTTTAGTGCAAACAGCTAAAGAGTGCGCTTTTCCTGGGAAAGGAACAAGGGGAAACCACTCAGAACCATGCTTTCTAGGCATGGGACAAGTGGAAGTATGGGTGTGTCCTCCCTGTGCTGCAGGTCCATCCATTCTGCAACCAGTCCTGCATATTTGGCAGTTCTTCCTTGGTCCCCTAAAGCCCTCTGCGGACAAACACCAGCTCCCTCGGCCCCTCGGTATTAGCAGAGGCCAGAGTTTGCTGTCCTTCAGTTCCAATGTCCCAGGGGCAACTGCATAAAAACCTTACCAATCTTACTTAGCTTTTCAGTGATTGTTGCACTGGCTTTGGATGAGCAGCTGCTTATGCATGCCTAAAGCTTGCCATTTCCTTCCTTTAGTGCTTGGTAACCTGCGGGAAAGGGCACAAACACCGCCAGATCTGGTGCCAGTTTGGAGGAGACCGATTGAATGACAGGCTTTGCCACCCTGAGAGCAAACCAGTTTCTGTGCAAAGTTGTCAGCAACAGGAGTGTGCCGCATGGCAAGTAGGACCCTGGGGCCAGGTATTTGAAGCCATTCTTTTCATTTTTACTGCTATGGGGCTTTTCATGGACTCCAGCAGATGTTGTTTTGGGGTGGTGTTTTAAAAAAATGCAGGCTCTTTGTCATGACTTCTGTCCCAGCACCCAAAAGAGAGGCTCAAGGCTTCCAATGGTACAGGTGGAGCCACAGGTGCAGATGCAGAATGCAACTTTTTGTTACTTGGACAAATAGCCTATGGATGAACACAGATATAATATTCGTAGAGCAACGTGGCTGGTTAACTTCCTGGGACACCCAACTGGTTAACTTTCCGGGACAACCAACGTGGCTGGTTAACTTCCCATTGGATAACTTCCCGGGCCTCACCCAGATTCCTCCCTTCCATCTCTGGACCACTTTTGCAGTTGCTTTGGAAACATTTATGTTTCTTTAAAATCAGGTGTTGTACATATAAACCGATGAATGTTTCTTTGGGTGGGCTTTTGCATTTTTTACATCTGGGAGCCTCCAGGAGGAGGAACAAGACCTTGAGCTTACTGAGTTATTTCATTTATATCCTGCTTTTCCTTGGGGGAGTTCAAAGCAACGTTCATGGCTCCAGTTCCCATTTTACCTTCACAATTCCCTAGGTTAAGCAAAGAACAAGAGTGAGTGACCCAGCGAGCGGTGATTTGGAGCCACATCTAGCCCGGCATCCAAACTGCTCCACCACAATTACTCATAATGTAAACCAGAGGGGAGCCAGCCTCATGCCGCTGTTGAAGTGCTGCGCCTTCTCTTTAAATATTTACATCCATTGCCGTCTTATGTTTATCACAGAAATGGAGGCTCTTGGCCTTAGCTCGCTTGCTGACCATAATAATAAAGTGTTCATGGGCTTCCAAAGAACTCATGCCTTCTGCTGAATCAGACTGTGGGTATTTTAGACCAGCGTTGTTAGTGCAGACTTGCAGTCCACCACTTAATGTGCTCTCAGGGAGAGGTGGTTCCCAGCCTGGATACCAGTTGGCAAGGATCCCTATACAGTGGTACCTTGGGTTAAGTACTTAATTCGTTCCAGAGGTCCGTACTTAACCTGAAACTGTTCTTAACCTGAAGCACCACTTTAGCTAATGGGTCCTCCTGCTGCCGCCACGCCGCCAGAGCACGATTTCTGTTCTCATCCTGAAGCAAAGTTCTTAACCTGAAGCACTATTTCTGGGTTAGCGGAGTATGTAACCTGAAGCGTATGTAACCCGAGGTACCACTGTACACTGAAATCGTGCTCCGGCGGTGAAGCGGCAGCAGGAGGCCCCATTAGCTAAAGTGGTGCTTCAGGTTAAGAACAGTTTCAGGTTAAGTATGGACCTCCAGAACGAATTAAGTACTTAACCTGAGGTACCACTGTACATGCAAAGCATACAGTAGTGGTGGCACAGAGCAGCAGCACTCATTTCCCAGAAGGCGTGCCAGTGCTTCTTACTGGTGGGGAGAGAGGGGTGAAGTGGCGGGTAGGATGGCATGGTGCAGGTGCGTCTGCAGAACCACCGGTGTGCTTGCACCGCACCAACCTCCCTGCTACCTCAGACCTCCCTGGAAACCA